ATTGATTAAATTTTCAATAACAACTCTTTCTTGATTTGATAACTTTTCAATTAAACATTCACACCTTTCAGTATCATGATTGTACATGATTTTTTTAAATAATCATAAGTTTTATAGTTTTATTATAACATCTTTAATAAAAATAAATCATAAGTTCCTATATACATCTTTGATAAAATCACAAAAGTAAACATACATTTTATTACATCTTTAAGTTAAAATGATTTATTAGAATACATGTTTTTTTAAAATCTCATGTTTAATTTTTTATATATAAGATATTGGGCACGCAATGGCCAATATTGATGTTATTGGGCAATCACTATTAAGCTATTCTTTCAAGCATCACTGTTTATTAGAGTTTGATTATATGATTTAATTATATCTTATAGAAAGGTTGTATAAATAGTATATCAATCATATTGATGTCATTTTGTGCCTAAAATAACGAAGCAACCAAAAATAGCTTAATAGTGCTGTTTGCCTGATAAAATTTAAATATTGTATGATTTAATTTTTTATTGTATGATTTAATTTTTATTTACATGTTGATCTATTGTCACGTGAATTCGTTGAAACGCGATTAGTTCTTATATTCCAAGATCCCTACCAAAAATTCGTTGTCGTTTTAACACGATTTATATATGAAACAAAAAATTTTTAAAAAGGGGGACAGAACCAAAATTCGTTGAAACAAGGGTTGACTGTAAATCATTTTTAACAATTAATCCTGAAATGGAGATTGAATGTTGCATTGTTTGTCGTAACTGCTTTTATTTTAGTTAAACTTGGTTCGTCAATTAATTTTATGTCAATGAATTTTGTAAATTCCGTTATCAGGCCACAAATAATTATTATTATATAGTTTTTCAGCCCAAATTCTGTAGATTATACATATAAAATTGCATGTTTCCGAAATTGATCAATTAAATTAATGTTGATCTCCTGATTTGGATTTCTAAATCTTTTAAAAAGAAGTATAAACAAATCACGCAATAAAAGATCATAATTAAAAATTTCATATCTAAATGCCAATAATTATCACTAGAATAGAAATCCGTTTTTGTTAGATCCTTTCAAAAAACAACTCCGTAATTGTATAGATTGGGATCCAAACTTTATTGTGATAGAGATATTTCAAAATATTGATTGGTTGTTCCTTTTTAATTGGGGTATTTTTTTATTTTATTTTTTTCAATGTCATCGCGTTATTTTTTTATTGGTTATTTTGAATGATTAATTACATAGTAAAAACACAATAAACAATTTAAATAAGCAAACGCCTTCCAAATCTAATCAAATCATTTGAGCCGCCTTTTCTTTTCATGAAGCTGTTAGTTCCTAGGAGTAATATATTAAATATAGATTGTACATTGTAAAAAAATAATGCTCTATTCGCCCAATAATTATGTGGAGGAATCATACTAAGAATTCGCATTTTTGGTAGATGTTAGTTACGTTAGTTACATCAGAATCTAGTATAAAGTAACGCATGTAATTATCAGGTGACTTATCAAGTACATACCAGAATTTGATGTGTATCTGATGCGCTTCCGACTTTGTCCACTTTGGCCTATAATGCCGCACCATACACGATGTATGGTAGTTGAAAGCAAAGTAGCAGTTAAGAACTCAAGAACAAAAGTTCCGCGGATCATGTGTCGAAATAATTTTTTGGGAGAAATTCAAATTACGCAATGATCTTCAAATAGATTTTTTTTAAATCTTTAAATATAAAAAATACAAAATGTTATTATTATTATTAAAAAATCCATTCAAATCAATATCTCGATCTTCTTCAAACTATTACAATTGTTATAATAACCATTTAAATACTACTAATATTATCAACATACCATCAACATCAACATCACCATCACTGTTATCATTAGTTAAAAAAAGATTTATATCAAGTTTAGATACACCTCAAGATATAGAAAAAGCTGAAAGATGGATAAAGAACTTTACAAGAGAAAAAATACCAAGAGGTTTGTTTATGTTTCTTTATTGTGGTGTGGATTCCAGATTAAATGTTAACATTTAATAATTAATACAATTATAATAATTAGAAATGTTGGAAATTAGTTTTGCAAGAAGTAGTGGACCTGGTGGACAAAATGTTAACAAACGTAAATTAACAATGCTGATAATATTCTTATTTTTATTTGATAATTATTATTTTCTCTCTAATTTTCACCTTTCCACACGAACAAGCTTAGTTAATACCAAGGTGGACATTAGAATTAATCTGGATAAAGCTTATTGGATACCAGAATATGCAAGAAATAAAATAAAAATCCAGGTACAATAAACAATTCATTCTTTTTCCATTTCGTTTTGTGCATCACATGCGCAATTTTGATTAGTTATTTATTTTATTTTATAGGAATCAAATCATATCAATAAGAAAGGAGAACTTGTATTAGTGTCTCAATTAACACGTACACAATCTAGAAATATAGAAGATTGTATTGATAAGTTGTATGATCTTATAACAAGAGCTGCTGAAATACCAAAAGGACCAGATGAAGAAAAACTAAAAAGAATCGAACAATTGTTTGTATTGTATATAATGTGATATTAATAATATTATTATTTTTCATTAATTTCTTAAATTTTTTGATGATAGAAAGAAAATAGAAAATAATAAAAGAAAATTAGATAAACAACAAAGATCTACAAAGAAGAGTGATCGAAAACATCGTGATGATTATTGATGTTTTGTGTTTTATAATATATATTTCAAGGTCTTCTCTTCACTTTGGTACCAAAAAACCAACATTATTAAAAATCACCTTTAAAAACAATGCATTCTGTATAATATTGCATAATCAGGTAAAATTATTGAATAATGCATAATCAAAAAAAATTATTGACCAAAAATAAAAACTTTATTAATAATTAATGACAATAATAGTAATTGCATAGTAGTAATTTAATACTTCTTTCCTTCTTACAACAAATATGTTAAGAAAAGAGATTGACATTATAGTGTAATAACAGAATTACAACATTGATAGATTATATAGATTATAGAATTGGTAGTCTTGAGTACAATCCATTTTCAGGTGATCTTAATTTAAATCAGTATTGGTTAAGTATGTCACAACAATTCCTATTTTCAAGAGTTGCATTGGATTACATTGGCTTCCTATACCAAGTTGTAGTGTAGAGAGAAGTTCTGTGTATAATTCTCTTTTGGATAGTGATCACCAGAATTTATCAATTAAAAAAATTAAATATGATGTATTTCAATCCTTGAATATAATTAAATAGATTTTTTATATCACTGCATATGCATAATTGATATTTTTTGGTACATAATTTGTGCATAATTTTATTGTATGCATAATTGATAGTTTATTACCACATAAAATTGTAGTGTAATGTATAGAAGTTTGCTTAAACTAAATTATGATGATGCTGAAACTCAGGAAAAAAAGGTTATAGAAGCTATGATTTCCAAATCTGAAAATCTTCATTAGCTATGTAAACACTCTTATTATTCCCACAAAGCAAACAATGAATAGATTAGGAGTCACCCAAAGAATGCATTTGCTTAGCTTTATTGAATATATTTAGAAAAATATTTCTCACACCTTCATTTTCAATTTTGTAATTTGTAGATGATTCTCCAAAAATTTTTTATAACATAAAAAATGATTTCTTTCAGCAATCTTGATCAAATTTAAGACAGGATAATATCTTTATCTTTAAATAAAGAAAGGAAAAGATTTTTTTTCATACAAAAAATAAAAGCTAATATTTTATTATTTGAATGTGCGCATTTATAAATTTTATGTGTAACAAAAAAATTTTCCCGTGATAAAATCAAAATATGATCTATAATCAATGAAATTATTACCAATTATATGTACTAATAAATAAAGTTTTGGCTGGAAACCTTATATGTGAGATGTATTCTTGAAGAAGTTAACCAAGCTTTGAATATTGAAATGGAAGGTAGTAACATGATGTATGTTGAAGAAAATCTGGATATTATGATATCTAGTTCCAAGTGGAAAAAATCCATCATAATATTATGAGATCTGCTGTAAACTTATGTAAATAGTGTAGTGTAATAATTACATAAATCTGCATCAGAAAAAATTTCCTGATGAATAAATATTTGTCTAGATAAATGATCCCATATTCCCTGATATTAGATTTTTTTCAGTAGGACATTCATGCAATGTCCTACAATAAAAGGTATTAGAATTTCAATTTAATAATGGAAGCATATAAATTTGCAAAAAAAAAAATATAATATCTAATATTTAAAATATATGCATTGCAAATGCTTGTTGTTGCTAATACATATAGACATACAGATTGTAGGTGGTTGTGTCTGCTGTTCATCAAATATATATTACAAATTATTATGTGCAAGTTTTTTTTAGCATCTTTATCATATATTCCAACACATGTAAATGTTGACAACAAAATTTGACCAATAATATATTTTTAATGATATCATAGATCATCAGGTATCGATTTTTGGGACCAAAATTGGCATGCACAGGGTACAAAAAAATCTAAAAAAATGTCCAATTCCAAAAGTCTGTTTCATGTGCTTTTTTATTTGTCAAATTAAAAGTTTTGGACTAATTAGTAAAGTCATCAAATGTATCTGTTTCTCTTATCAGAATTGTTTGTGAAAATATTCTTTCAGCATGTGTATTGGAAAAGGGTATAAGAGGTGTTATTTTACAATGATCATTAAATTTGTATCCAAAATGTTTTAAAGTCTTTAGAGAGTCCCACCAGGACTCTGGATTATTATAATTGAGTGACAACTGATTTTGATAGTTTTTTGCTGAAGCCACATGAAAAATTTGGGCAAAGACTTTTAATAAATGGTGTGACTATTTTTGGGTATAGCAGAAAATTTTTATTATTGGCCATATCCAAATCAGGTAAAGCAATTTTTATGTCATGAAATTGTGGGTAAAGCAAAAAAATTTAAAATAGAAGAATTAATATAGAAAGTTTTGTGTCCTTCTCCATTTTAAGCAAATTTTCTAAAGAACCTGTTTATTGCTAATACTAAATTATTTATTTTATTAAGAATTAGTGAAAAACATTAACAACTATATTAATATGATGTTCTTAGTTCTTTAGATAAAAATATATTTTTTCAATAATCATGTATAAAGTTACCTGACTTATATGGGTAAAGCTTTTAATTTTTTGACATATTACTGTATATGTTAAGATGGATAAAGGAGAAAAATGTTATATGCTTAAAAGGGTAAAAAATTTCCAAAATTTTGGGTGATGTTTTCTAAAATTTACTAATACTAATAACCTAGATGTTACCTCAATTATGATAACCTGGAGTCCTTCTGCGAGTTTTTCTTTTTCAACGAATTTTCTGCACAAATTATTGGCTGATCACAGGACTAATGCCAGAAATTTTAAAAAATCGCTGATTCTCCGGCCTAAATTAAGCCATAATAATAATCTTGCCAAACTTTTGTGATCAAAATTTCAATATATTAATTAATATACACCACCTGATGATCATTTAATAATCGGAAATGTTACGCCTTATGCAGTTCAAAATTTTATTAATCAAACCGGGACTAGTGCATTAAGTAAACATGTTTTTTAAAGTTAATTTGCATATAAATTTAAAGTCTCGTTGAGTTTGCATTAATATTAATAATGAATTTAGGGTGAAGATTTTAAATTAGACAAAAAATTCCGTGATTTTTATGAAAACTTTAAGCTTAGTATTAGTAAAAACCTCCAAAACTCCGTTGAATCATGGATCACGTCATTGAATTGTATATGGTTAAAATTTGAGAAAATTTGATCAAGTATAGACAACAAAACGTAAAGCCTTAAAATTTGCATTTTGTCAACTTTATTAAGTGTTTTATATAATAAAATTACGGGGTGGTCGGATACTTTTTTAAACCCTTTTCACGAACTAATTTATGCCAACACCATATTGTAGATATATGTAATCTGTTACGTTGAGCATATTTTATTAATGAAATAATTAATATACAATGAAGAAATTTGACCTTTATTACATGTAAAGATTCCGATTGAAAACTTGCTTTTTTGGACCATTTGCTAAATGTTTCCATTAATACCATACCAAACCTTTCGAAGTTTTTGTAATTTAGAGATTTTGATGTCTACTTAGTAAAGTAAAAAAGGTTTTATTTTAAGAAAACATTACTTTTTTTAGTAAGGACTCTTTTATTTGACGTTACACGACTTGGGTGGTCGGATATTTATGGTAGGTGAGTGTATATATGTAATATATACCCTATTTTAACCCCCCCAAAAACGATCCAATTTAAAAAACGCAATTCATGTTGTTAAATATAAAATTAAAAATTATTACCGCTTAAAGACTAATCGACACTCCATTTTTAAATAAAAAATAGGGCACAAGGATCCGCCATATGTATTAATATTAATTATATCAATTAAGATTTATAATTATAATTTTGGCTCAAATTCGTGTAACAATTATTTTTAATTTCTGATATTATAGTTTTTTCATTCGTTGTTATCATAGATATCAGCAAGCATTGTTGTTAAAAAACAAGTTTAAATCTGGTTTTTTTGATAATGATAAAAACTTCTCACACGATATTTAGCATTAATTAGTTACAGCATACTTTTTGTTCATCACGTTTCATACATTTATTCGTGGTATATACAGTTATCACGTTTAATATAAATACGCGCCTTATCACATTTCATACATTCATCATCCACTTTGTCATGTAAAGAACGAACTTATCGTGTACGTATTAGATCCAAAGAATCAAACTTTTTTCTCACACTAAAAAGTCAAATAATGGATCATGAGGTCAAGGTATCTTGACATTGATCTGCTTTGTTTTTTTTTTATACAACAATTGTTAATTATTTTTTATTGTAATTATCAAAATCGAGAAAATTTTGTATGGGAAATTAAGATTCCTCATTTCTTTCTCCGGGTTTGAAATTCTTGAACGTATAAAAATAAAAATCAAGAAATGTTCACATTAACTCGCACGGTCATTTTATAAAGCTATAACCAGGTAATTGATAATTATCTTTTATATTTTTACACACACTTTATCACCAAACTTTATCATCTTACACAAAATCCCATATGATTTATGCCTAACACCATCATCGAATTTCATTCCTTTCGCCTTTTTTTCTCATTTGCTTCTCTCTTCTCGTTCTTTCTTTTTCTATTTGTATGTGTACAAGAAGAGAGAGACACAAACATTCTTTCCCCACTTTTCACGATACCATAATTAGAAATTTTTTTTATCTCTTTCTTTGCAAATAACGTTAATGTCTTGATATTTGTTACACGAATATGTCACACGATTAGTATTTAATCAATTAGATTGCATTATCAATTATTAATGGTTGATTGCAATAGAAAATCCTTAACTTTATTTTTCTTCAAATAAACTTTACAATTTTAATTTTTTGATTTAATAATTTTAATAGTAATTTCAATTAATTGATTAAATTTGTATTGTTTATATTTTTGTAACAAGGGATTCTTCTCGCCATCCATCTCATGATCAAAAATAATATTTTATTTTCTCACTAAAAATATTATATTTATATTATAAAAATAATCTTTTCTCACACACAAAAAATTGTTAAAATCACCATATTCTGTCATAAAGCAAAACAATATATATCATAGTAAATAAAAAATTTGTTTATATAAAACCCAACCTTTTAACTTTGGATTAATAATTTAATCAAATTTTTCCTTTTCATACGTTTCATAAATTTCATAAATTTCATATTTTTCTTTTAATCATTTACATCTTTATTTATAAGTATTTTATTTTATTAATTATAAATATATAAGATTTGCTATTAAATAAATTACTGCCACGACGACGCCTAAATAATAACTATTTTTTCTTTAAATAATAATATAATACAATAAATTTTTTTTTTTTTACTTCAAATTTTGAACTTCTCTTCATTTTTTTTTTTTTCTTGTTTTTTAATAAATAGCTATATTTTTATACATAAATACAATTTTTCTGTACATATCACATATATATATATATATATTCATTTTTCTTGTAAAAAAAAATTTAAAAATGACACCAACATTTGGCCCAACACTTTCCACAATACTTAGTATCACCGTAGTTCATAATAATTTTGACCAAGAGGATTTAAATAACAATAATAATCATTTTCGAGGTGCATCATCGCCTGACTGTTCCAATTTTGATGCTGGTTTATCATCATCATCATCATCACCAACAACATCATTATCATCATCATTCTCAACCACACCTACTATTACCAATAATAATAATACTACAACTCCTAGCATATCACAACATTCGGCATTGTCACGTCGTTCATCCGAATCAATTGTTGATACTAATATGGCCCAATATTTCAAGAAACAGTCAATTCGACGATACACTTTACCATCTATAATAAACTCTCTGAGTAATTCGACTGGTCAAGATCACAATAATTCTACTCCAGTTCCTCAATCTCCTGGTTTTAATCCAAGATTTTGGGAAATAGGAAATCGTCGTGATGATTCATCGGTTCACGTTGCCATGGTAATTATTATTAATATTATGCACACAATTACTACACGTACATAACGTGTGTATGTTTTTAATATAATTTGTAATTAATCATTCTCACATTTTAAATTATTTTTTTAATATTTTTTTTAGGAACATGTCCAATTTGGTTTATAAAAAGAAACAAATCCAATTATTTTTAATTCCTAAATATATGCACTATTAAAGAATTTATTTATAATTCCTTCGAGTTACTTTAAAAATTAAATGCGCAAAAATAAGCAATAATATAATTATGATTTCAAACATTTTTAATATATTCTATATAATTAATAATTAATAATATTTTTTTTATATATTTTCTTGTAAATATTTTAAAATTTCACATTTTTGGTTTTTTTTTTAATTTAAAATTTTTTTTTAAAAATTTAAATTCATGATAGATTCATGATAGATTTTAAAATCAATGTCGACGTAAATTTTTAACAATAAATCATGAATTGATTAAAAACTGTTAATGGTCCCGTTATAATAACAATCTTGTTTGTAAATGACATTATGATGACATTAATTTATCCGTTATACTAGAATAACGACATAGTTGTCAAAATATCAGTTTTTATCCGTTGTCAATATCATTCAGATCATGTCAAACAAAAGTGTTTGATAATGTTAATTAATGTGAACAATCAATCAATTGTAAAAACATTGATTAATATGGCTAATTTTAGTTAATTAGACAATGAATGGAAGCGATCCTATTGTAAAAATTGTAATTTTAAAATGTTTTTGTTCTTATTAAAAATCGGAAAGAACCAAATAGGCGCACTTCTAGTTTAGATAAATTAAAGATTTTGACAGTAATTTTATCAGAAAACAAAGAATTTTAGAGGTCGAACAAATAGTTTAGATTTTTATGTTCAAAATAAATCACATTATAATGATTCTTATATGAACTTTTTATTTTATACGGACGGACTAACATTTTTGTTTGGATGGAGAGTGTCATGATAACGGGAGCGACTTGGTAATAATAAAACCGCAGGAAAATCAGCCAAGGAGGATTGGCACAGTAACCAGGCCAGCAATTATGCAGACAATAAAGGCAAAGAATAAATATTGTATGGCGTGTATAGAAAGTGTAGCAGATGAATACGTGTTTTCAAAGATAATTACGTTTAAATAGCAAAGGAGTACGAGTACTCTTTTGATGACTTGATTTTTCTGCTTGATCTATCAACATATTAATGATATAGAAACCTCCCTATTACTATTATTTTCACGTTTACGCACGCGTATTTCACAAACCCGAAAATACATTAATGTTGATTATGATGTCAACTTGACACGCAAAATCCGAAAATTTGGACGATCGACACTGATCTACCTCGACCAGAAAATTTTTCATGAATGAAAGTAAAACTTGGAGCTAAATGAATTTTATATACCTTAAGGTGTTGTATATATTTAATGAATTCAAAATTTTAAAACCACAAATATGTTTATTAGCTTTAGTATATATAGATAATTATTTTTATTAGAAATAAATATTGTATTTTATTTACTTGATATATAATTAACAATTAATCAATGTTTTCAGCAGATTATTATATCAAGCAGATTAATTCAATAAAGAGCTATAAAATTATAGCAAGATCGAAGAGGTATTTACAAGTTTAATAAGTATCGGTTAATATTAAAGATACAATATTTAAAAAAAATTTTAATGGTCTATGTTTTTGTAAAACTTTTAACAAGATAGAAAAGGTTGTTATTATTTTTACTAATGAACCAAATCGGTGCAATGTACTAAAGATTCTATTGTAATAATTTGAGATTCACAAATTCTTTTAAAGGTTGTTGATTTTTCTTTATTATATTTACTCATTTTTAATAATAGAATTAATGATGCATTTATGTAACAAATTGTAGATTAATAAATAGATAAATTTTAATTTGTTATTTTATAGATCACTTTACTTTAAAATAATAGGATTGGCAATAACCAAGAAAGGAATGCACACAATGAATTAACCTTACAAGAATTTTCATCCCAAGAATCATAAACATAGTACACGAACCCTAGGCATGAGGAATTTATTGAATGTTTCCATTCAATTGGGATATTAAACCAAAACAGAAGAACTTGTACATCAAAAAAAAAGTTCTATTTCATCTGCTTCCCATGATGCTTATTACCCATCTTGATGGATAGAACTAATGTTGAGATTTGTAGTTTGGTGCTAAGCAAGGAAACTTTTACCTTTAGCTATCTTTTTTAAGAATGGCAGGTTAGATTTAAATTAAGGTAATTTAATAGATAAATGTGGTCACAAGCCCTCACTTTAACATTAAAAGAAAGAAAGATACACACATAACAAATGCTCATTTTATCTTGGATTTTATCTTGGATTTATAGTCATTATTATTAATGTTAGTTGTCATGAGATTTTAATCATCTAATCTAAAATTTTTTTTTTCAAAATTTTGGCAAAATTTATTTAATTTATAGAATTTACACTAATAGAATTCTTAACAGTTTACATGATGATCAACCTTTGACCAATACTTTGATGTAATTTTTTATTATTAATTTTCCCAATTAACTAACATCTTTACAAATAAGATAAAATGAAAAATAAAACGTAATAAATAAATATCAACAAGTGTATAAAAAACCTTAGCAATATAAAAGTCCAAAGCCGACAAGCTACTGGCACTTGTGATATAATGCAAAGTTGTAAAACTATTTAAAACTTTTAAATGTTTCTTTTTAACTCATGAATCTTTAAAAGTCATGGATTCAAAGTTCAAAATTTACGCTCCATTACTTCACAATGAAGAAAGTCAAAGTTCATTTCCAACTTGCAGTTTGCCTGTTATAATTCAGGATTTTTGATTGCGGTAAATAAATGACATATCATCCATAACACAAATCGTTCGACTAATGATTAACACCATCAAATAAAGACGGCAACATCGACCCGAAGGTCTGTAAAATCGGCGACAATCGGCTAATATTGTTATAAGCAAAATGAAATGATTAACATATATCATTCATACGAAAATTGTTTCATATACAGGATCGACCATACAAGCGTTTTAGGGTAGGAAAATTGGTCTGGATATCTAAATTTCACTATAGATCCACCGTATAAATTCACAATACTCGGTAAAAATCATCTCCTGCTGTAGATCCGCCGTAAAATTTTGACACACATAATCTATGGATTTTTAACGGGTTTTTTCCATATTCATTATTTTCATATTTATTGTGTAATGTTATTAACTAAAACGTGTCATATTTTATACATAAAAGTATATATGAATATGTATACACCACACATACATTCATTATAAATATATAATTTTGATGGATAAAATAATAAAATCAAATGAATGCTGGGAATCGTAAAATCTAGAGACCTGAAATTATTTATTCAGCTTTCCTTTAATATCACTAATTCTTTTTAGTATGTGTGTAAATAAATAAATAATAAATAAATAAATATTTATAAATCAACATTAACAAATTTAACAACAAAATTAACATCAATAACTACATTAAACTGTTTGATGATTGTTTTTCAGCTGTTTATTTATCCTCTGCATATTTGTTTTTCTTTTGTTAACAAAAATTGCGTTTCATTGTTGATAGATAATAAGAGTTATCTTTTTACAAGTGTATGATAATAAAAAATTAATGATAATGGACATTCTTTATTAATAAAATATAATAAATAATGGTTATTTTCTTTCCCTCTCTAATTCCTTTTTTTCTAAAAAAAAACAATATTGAAGGGATAGAAGATTGTATGACAGCACAAAGAATTAAATGCGCTTCTCAAGTATATATATAATGTGTAATGTTTGTACAGTATATAGTATAGTATATATGTAATTATGATTATCATCAACACCATCATCCCTAAATATAGACGAGGAACGAAAAGATCAGATCAAATCAAATCAATAATATTAATTCCTCTAATTAGGTAAAATTTTCTTTCTTTATAACATCTTGAAAAATTTAGTATTACAAAAAAAGAAAAGGTTATTTTTTCTTTTCCCTCCATTTCTCCTCTTCATCTCCTTCTCCTTTCCCCCATCAACCAGTCATCCAATCCAATCCAATCCAATCCCAATCATTTTATTATCACAATCTAACCCAATCAATTCATCACATTATATGTTTTGCATACATAAATACATACATCCGTTCATCCATCCAAACAAACATTCCATTATTCAATGTAATATCTTTTGGTATTTTTTGATTTATCACATGGTAATGGTAGTTGTGTGATTGTTTAACATATAATCACCTTATATTGTTGTTATTATAATTAATGGATTGGTTTCAGAAAGTCGAATGTTGATGATGATAATTGAAAGTTTTAACAAATATAACTGACGATTATGATAATTAAAAAGTTTGGTCAATCATCTTGGGGGAAAAATGTGGTAATTTCTTTTTCATATATATTCTTATATAATCTATATATATTAAAAAAATTAAAATTAATAAATTTTTTTTAAAAAAAGAATTCAAAAAAAGCATGAAATGAAAACATTATAGTGTGAAATCAAATGTTAAAAGTTGAAAATCAAAGCCTTAAAAAGCACTAGTTAAGAAAATTACCCATGCAGTAATACCGTGGCGATCAGGTGAATAAGGTACGTAATCTTCTTTATCTATTATATATGTGGCTGCTTGTTTGTATGGTCTAATTATTATTAATCTTATTGTGGTGTAGTAAAATATAGCAAGAATTAGAAACGCCCAAACATTACGTTGTGTTATGCGTGTTATTTGTTTCAACCATCTAGTAATAAATATATTTAATTAATTAGTTGCTAGTAAAATAAAAAAATTAAACATTAGTTACTAATTAATATCACTTCTCCATCAGAAATATTATCAATGATTTTTATTGTTTTTTTTTACAAAGTCTTACTTTTTTGAATAATGTTTGGTAACGCGGACTTATGTTATTGTCTAATGGATAATAGGACAATAGTAGAAGAATGTGTGTTTAATATAAATAGTTAATTTAACAAATAATAAAATAGATATATATATATATTAATAATCGATTTTCATAGTAATTAATCCAAATCAACCCTAAAAGTAATTATTAAATAAAAAATTTTTTTCTTCAAAAATAATAATAGAATAAGAATAGAATAGAATAGAATATAAAAAAAAATGCCGTGAGATCATGCTGGAAAAGAACACGATGGTAGTTAAAATTACTACATTAGTGATATGAATCACGCCTTTTCGACCAAAACGAGATCTCCCTGACCACGAATTTCCATATATATTGATTATATACCAGAATCAGGTATTTTTTTTTTGATATATATCTTTTGGGTGCCAATAAAAAAAATTTTTTTTTCTTTTTTAACCCTTTCTTCAACCACCTGTTTGTTATTTCTGTTATTTCTTCCTTCTTTTCTAATATTGATATCAAAAGGATAGGTTCTCTAACAACCTTCCAACTTAAATACACTTAATAGAAAAAATTTTTTAAAAAAATAGATTTTTTTTAATAGATATTTTCTTTATAATTAAAATTTATTTGCTTTAATATTGTTGAAAAGGTAAGCCAATCACCATCCTAGTGTCCATTCTTGTGTATGTACCAATTTTATTAAAATAAAAATACTATTGCTACATTCTATTTTTTATCTTTATTTGAATTTATTTATTTTTATGAAGAAAAAAATATCTTTTTTTTTCTTTATAAATTGAAAAAATTGAAAAAGTTAAAAAAAAAAAAAGAGAGAAAATTTTATATTCGTATATAATAAACAATTGTGCAATAATTATCTAAACAAAAAAATGGCTATTTTCTTACTTAAAAACTCTAATATAAATTACAAAATTATTTACCAATCATTATTTTATCATATTAACATTTGTAGATGACGCAAGTAGAAGAACCTCTTGTTGTAACTTCACTACAAACAGCTCTCAGTGATCAAGCTTTTGCAATGCACGGTTTAACTCAATTCTCAGAGTTAGTAATGATTTATTTTATACATAAATGTGTATAAATTATGGATAAAAAGTATTATTTATTGAATAATTAATTAATTAATTAATTGTTACTTTTTTAGCATTCAAACTGTCTTGAAAGAAATGCACGATAAAAAAGAAATTCAAGATGAACAAAGAGTGCAAGATAAGCAAGAAACACTTACACAATCACAATCCATCGACTCGTCGATGTCAGGTCAAAACTCGCGTCAAGGTTCTCGTGCTGCCTCAAGAGCTCCGTCACGCTCATCATCAAGAGCTGGATCACGTGCAGTTTCACCATCTAACACACCAGTTCCATTATCACGTACTAACTCTTCTAGTAGAATGAAGTCTGATCTTCCATCTACACCAGAGTCACCTGGTATAAACCCATATATCATCAACAAAGAAGCTATTCCTATTATTGATGAAAAAAAGAATGAAAAAGATGTTGATGATGGTGTTGGTGATGAACATGACGATAAAAAAGTAATTAAAAAGAATAACGGTGATGGTGTTGATGATAATGATGAAGGTGACGACTATGAAGAAGATGATGGAGACGACGACGACGACGAAGAAGACATAACTAAAACTGGCGATACGTCATTTGCACGTTTAGCTAGCCAATTAGTTGCAATGATTAAACAAGCAGAAGAAGCTGTTGAGGTACCCGTAAGAGGTCGTGAAACAAAGCCAAGACAACCTTCTAATGCTAGCGAAACATCACAACTTGATTTCGATAATTTTTTAAATGATCTTGACACCTATTTAGAGGAGGATGGCGAAGAAGTTGCTGGGGAAGGCTTAATAAAACCATCATCAAAGGAAAACACTGATTTAATACAAGACCGCAAGAAAGAAAAGAGAGTAGGTCACAGTAAACAAAAAAGCAGGCAAGAAGAAGAATTTCAACAAAGTTTAGATGTTTTTGCAAAAAATTTTAACAACATTCTTGCAGAGATTGAACACGAAGTAGGAGGAAATGACGATGCTAATATTCTTAACGGCGAGATCATGCCTCCAAATATGTTGTCATCACAATATATTGATCCAATAAATCATCCAAGTGAAGATCTGGCAGACTTGGATGATTTTGCACAACAATGTCGTCTACTCACTCGAGCACTTATACTTCCATTTTTACATGCAACGCACTCATTTATGTCCGAGTCACTCCAAACCACCGATACATCACATACACCTAGGTCGGTGACAAGCACTACACGAAGTTTTATGAATCTTATGTATTGGACATTTTTGTTTACGCTTGGAACATTGGTGCTAGATGCATGGTTGTGTGAAGTAGCAGGACAACAAGTAATCAGAATGGTTGGCATGCTAAAGCCAGGACAAGTATTTCACAACGTTGATAAAAATAACAGTATTGAACATCATCATCATAATGCTATCGAGTTAGATCATCAAGATGGTGAGGCGAAGATGGTGGAAGACAGTAAAAAAAAAAACGTCAAAATTTGTACCTGCCTTGAAATGAAGGCCGTCACGTATCTTATTAATAATAACAATAATTTTTATACTAATAATAATAATACTAATGTTAATAACGAAAAACAAGATATTTTTATACAATCACCTATAGCAATAAACGATTCTAATTATTATATTGATAATAACAATAACAACAATAACATAAACATAAACAACAACAATAACAATAAGCGTAGTAGTATTAGTAGCAATATTAATTATAGTGATAATATTATAGATCAACAAGATAATAATGATATATATGATCATGAAATGGAGGAACACGAGGAAGAAGATCGAGATTTAAATATACCCGGATCTTTTCCTTCGGCATTCAAATGGACACCACACTCATCCCATTTAAATAATAATAAAAAAGACAATGTTAGAAGAGTAAAAAGTGTAGTATTACGTCGACCAAAACGTAATGGATCATTTAGCGGTGGAGGTCATTGGGTGATTAGAACTCGTAAAGTTAGAACACGGCATAATAATAATAATAATAACAAACTACTCAAAAGGAACAATTCTAAATCTAGCTCTATTTCTAAAAATAAAGGAACAACGAAATCTACTTCACTGCCAGAAAGGATATGGGTTAGACGTAATAGTATATAATAAATATAATAATAATAATAATAATAATAATAAAAACAATATTTAATTAATAGAGAATAATTTACTTTCAAAATACATACACTTTTTATTTTTCTTCATTTTCTTTTTTCTAATATCTAAAAGAACATTACAAGGATGGCGGTTCTAACAAATTTGTTGCCGCAGGAGGGTATTAAAAAAAATTCCAAGTATATGGAATGGACAATTTTCTTTTTTATTTTTTTCTATTTTCTTGTATCTATTTTTTCCATTTTATTTTTTTTTTCTTTTTTTATATATATATATTTTTATTTAGGAAAACAAAAAAGTCCACCTTTAAAATCTTATTATTTTTATCTTTTATATTATTAATATCTATACATATTACTACTGCTACTGCTACTACTACAATTCTGCTAACCCGAATTTTTTCTTTTTTTCTTTTTTATTTCTTATATATATATATATTCACACACATATACATATCATATATATCATATACAATATATATGTATATATATATATATTAGTTTATATATATATATTATATATATACACATTTCATCGATATTTTTAATCTCTACATATCCAATCGGGGTTTAATTTTTTTTAATCATTTATAAAAATATCACACACACATACAATTATATATATTTATTATTTCGTTATAAATATATATATATATATTTTTATATATATCGAGATATTTTTATTGGCAAAATCAAATCAAATTTTTTTGGTATTGATATATTTTTTTTATTTTATTTTTGAAAATCATCTTTTAGTTGTTTTTTTTAGGTTTTTGAAAAATCAAATTTTTTTATTTTGTATTTATTTTATTTATTTATCTTTTTATATTATTTTGAAAATTTTTATATATATATACTTTTTAAAAAAAAAAAAAAAAAAAAAAGAAATAAAAATTCTTTCAGTTTTGTAGCATTTATTAATAATAAAATAATAAAACAAAAATCATATATATATAATATTAAAAAATTAATTGGATTTAGTATATACGATGCAATTAAAATCGACATGAACAAGATATCAAACGTTCCAACCTTTTAAAAGCAAGATCTTCTTTCATATTTCAAAGCAAGCCTTACCAAATAATTGGATTAACCGTTGATCATGAGCGAAAAAGCCTTAAATATATAATACAACTTTCCTTAATACGTTTCCTCTATATGTAGTAAAATCTCAAATATCACATGCAACGCTTTAATTTTTTTGTATAGAGTTATTTTCTGAGATTAACTTTATTCGTATATAAAAGTCATATTATGCATGGCACAAGGAATTATACTTTTTGTGTAAAGGAGCAATTTTTATTAGTAATTTTTGTAACGTTAACAATTTGCTGTTAATAGGTATTTATAATGGATTTAACAAACTGGATCCAGATGTGAATTAAATTGATGGTTTACACAAATTATATAATTAAAGAAGGAACAAAATTTCTTTATCAGAATGTTTGTTTTTTCACCCAGATATCAATCATCATTAGTCAGTTTTACTCAATAATTGTTGTAAGGATGAAAACCATAAAAGGAACATTTGAAGATGAAACGGTTCAAAATGATTGTTAGAAAGTCAAGATTCTAAAAATAGTAAAATCCAAATATAAAAGACCAAGAAATTGATTAATTGACACAAATAAACCAGAATTTTTTTTAGAATTGATGATTTCAAATTTATTGAAAAATCTATGCTACTGAAAGAAATTAATATGTAGGATTCAATTGGGGAGTGGGACAACTTGAATAGAGGGAAAATATATTTTAGTATGGACAATAATGATTATTTCATCGAGTTAAAAATATTTTTTATTCTATTCCATTAATCCGACTCCCTGATTTTTAGCAACTAATGAATAGCAATCTAATTACCTCAAAAAATTCCAAGACTAAAAAATGATTTCCAATCGGAACGACTAATTAGATAATTTGTCCACCTCTACAATAGAAACTAATCCTTATATATTTTAATTAATCCTTTATGGATTTAAGATATTTAAATTTATGAAGCTTACTGGTTAATCATGAACCTTATTGTTATTGTTTTAAAGACAAAGTGTATAAAATAGTAAAGAAATATACTGTATGTGGTAAATTATTGTTATTAATATTGAATATAAATGTGTCTATTTACTTGTATAATTTCTAAATAATTTAAATTATTCATTTATTAGATTTTTTTATTTTTTTAAATAAATAAATAAGATGCATTTCATTACTATCATTGCCATCATTGGACTATATTGGTCATTGTTTCTTCTTGTTCCTTTTCTTCGGTAAATTTTTCCATTGAAACTCTTAAACGGATCTCTTTTTCTAACATTACATTCATCACCTCATTTAATTCTTCAGTTGAAAATTGAGAACGTAGTTTTCGAAATGCTATCATATACAAATCTAACAATTTTATTAATTTTTATTAATTTTTTATAATAATCATTTCAATACTATCATTAATTAATGTTTTAGATAAAATTTTTCATACCTTTTGACCATGGACATTCTCTTATTGCATTGTAATACAAAATCTTGGCTTTACTATATTGTTCATGTTTAATTTCATAATTAATATACAAAGCCCATAACGATATTGAATTTTTTGTTCTATGTATTTACATAAAAATAATGATTAATATTTTTTTATTAATATGTATATGCATATATATATATATATGTGTGTATATATAATTTACTTTGGACATTCAAGTGCTTTATCAAATAGATTTCGGACTCGGTGAACATCATAGGGATGTTGACTATGTAATTCGGAAAAAATGGCAAAAGTCCAAAGAATATGGTTTGGATTTCTTGAATATCATTATTATTATTAACAAATATTAATAATAGTGAATTAATATCAAATGTAATTGAAAAAAAAAACAAAATTGTCAATTATTTGACTTACTTTTTTAACATATTTTCTAACATTTGATTTAAACTTGTAGGAATATTTCCATTAGTTTCTTCATGCAAAAACAAAGACAAAAAAATCGTATTATTGGGAAAAGCATCCAAAGCCCTAATTAGTAGATCTTGCAAAATTTTAAATGTCTCTTCTCTTTCTGACGTATCACATATTAAAGAATGCTGGTAAATTAATTTAATATAAGTGTTTACCTTTTGTTAAGAATTTTATTTTTTAAACCATTTTAAATAAAACAAGTAATCTATCTATCCATCTAAAATTTTATATTAATATAAAGGATATGCCATGTATATCATCTCAGTTTCCACACTCATTTTACCCTTTCTAACCTCTATATTTTCTAATGATTCGTCAAATACTTTACAAGCATGTTGTAACCCTCTACTTGTATATTCCAAAAATGCTAAACATATAGAATAATTTAAGAAATTGTACAAATCTATCTTTGAAGCTGATGACGATGTAAGACTTGCCAACTGTTGAGAAAAATACTGTAAAATACATATGTATATTAAATTCATTAGCATTTTTCAGTAATAATTTAAAATTATACTAATGTTATTTAAATACCAACCTTCCTGGCTTTTAATATTTTTATACTAGGCACATCCATTTCTGATATTGAATCTATTGGTATTATCAAGAAAAAAAAATTAAACATCATATATATATATATCAATAATGATAATATTTATTTACCTACCTATCATCACTATTTGAGTCTCTGTTATATTAACAAGTGCATCTTAAATATAAATATAAATATATATATATTAATTATTATTAAGGATTTGAACAACATAAAATATTCAAACTTAATCCATTCATCTATTTAATCAGTTAGATTATGGAAATATATAATTTATATTTGTGTAAAAGAATACATACTTAGAGCAGTTTTCAAATGATGTTGTTCAATTTCCATTTCTGCAAACATTCGATAAATTAGTGGTACATCTTGTTTATATTCTTCAGGAAATTTTCGATATTGTGAAAGTGTTGCAAGATAAACTTTTTGTGCCTTTCCAAAAAAAAAAAAAAAAATAAGTTATTTGTTATTGATAAAGAATAATTAAACAAATTTTGAATGAATACATCTGTTATATTATTCATTGATTTTTCAAGTAATGCATATCCATTCCAAAATGATAAGTTTGTTGATTCTTTTTCCAACATATTTCTTGCAAGATTTTTTGCACTATATAATTAGTTTTATAAAAATTTTTTTTACTTGTAATAATTAATAATATTAATAAGATAATTCATTAAAAGTATTAACCTTGAAACATCATATAATTGCTCTAATGCTAATTGACATAATTTAATCCCTGGATCATTTATACATTGTGATATTTGGGAGATGGCATTTCTATTACAATTAAAATATTGTTATCAATAAAAAAATGAATTAACATTATAAATGAGCTTAAAAATCATCAGGTAATATATATTATGTTTTTACCTTGCAAAATTCATATTTATATTATAACTTTCAATATCATCACAAATTGAAGGCCAATTTTCAGATTTAAATAAATTGTTTGATTCTTGTGGGAATGCCTTTATTGGAAACTTAAAAGTATACATCGTTGCTGTTTTTGTTTCTATTGCTGCTGCTACTGATGATGTTGTTGATGTTGTTGTTGATGTTGATGTTGATGTTGTTGCTGTAGCTGCTGATGATGATGATGATGATGATGATGATGATAATGAAATATTTGACCAAAAACTATTTTCTGATATTAATTCATTTGCAAGTTTAGAATTCAAAAATGAATCAATTATCAAAGGATTTGATGATGAATAAGAAGGATTAAAAGATGTTCCAACAAAATCAAAACATGCATATAACAGCTCTAGACGTGATTCATTTGAAGTCAAATCAAATAAAAAACTACAAATATCATCAAAAATCACAATTCTATATGGATCATCTAGATCTGATTCATCAATGATTTCTGTATAAAAAATATAATGAATAAATTATATTTATTGTTATTATTATAATTATTAATATAAATGTGTAACGAACTTGATCTTATTGGAAGTAATTCATTTTCATAAAAATTTTCTGCCTTTATCCATTTTTCAAATGTATCCCCTATTAATGGAAGTAATTAGTTTGCGAAAATACATGTAATGATGCTAGAACATATTCATAGATATAGCCATTAGATTCAATTACCTTCAATATTTTGAAGATTAAGAGAAGTTGGTAAAGTATTAACATTTTCAATATCATCAATTTCACCTGCCAAAGATATAATTAATTAATAATTAATTTATTCTAAGGTTTAATATGTATGAAATTACTAATATTAGTAGTATTGATAATTTACTGTGTTGATAATTATATGATCCCCAGCCTTTAGCATTCTATAAATAATAAAAATCATTAATCAATTTATTTCAACAAAATTCCCCAAAAAAAAGAAATTGTAAGTAAATTTATATTATACAATCTCTCCAAAACGTGGTTTTTCAGATTCCCAAAAATTTTCTAAATTTGCAATTCTATCATAAAAAATTGGATTTTGAGAGTCTGGTCCAAAGAAAGTTAGTTCAATCATTGCTTGCCAACATGCATATGCTCTTTCTGTATACCCTATTTATTATTTAGAAAGCAAATTTTTTTAGAAAAATTTAATAATAATTATTAATTAATAAAGAGTGGTTTCAAACCTGATTGAAACATAAAAAAACATGCACGTTGGAAAATGTGAATCATAATTGTTTCAATTTCAAGTTTCTCTATACAAAAATAATTAATATGTGAATCACTTTCTTTTCAAGTTTTGCCTTTAATGAATTAATTAGTTTAAAAAATAATAATACCAGATCTATCCAAGGTAACTAAAACAGCTTTTCTTAAAACATGTAAACAATCTTCAAAA